AAGGGAAGAAACTATCGAGTTCTCTTATTGAGTATTGTGTAGGGTGTTCAGACTAGCCACCCGCCATCATACTTATGAATGGCTAGTGAAAATGAGCATTTGTCATTATACAACAACTCATCACCAATCATCTTCGAATAACCTGAATGATGTAGGCTAAGAACAACATTACTTTCTAAAATGGGTCTAAAACCAAAACATATAGGCTTCCAAAAAATTACAGATTCCTAGTTCTATATCAAATAAAAGAAAAGACGATAGAATAAAATAATTGGTTGCAAAAGAATATCATGGAAATTACTTATAGTATCCCCAACAAAGAATGTTTTGCCTTCAGCCCAGTCCTCATAGCTAACGCCTACGGTCCACCCCATCTCATCCCCAACAATATAATCAGTAGCAAGAACAATAGCTGGAAAAAGGGTAATGGCAATGAAGAGGATGAACTTTTGGGCCATGGTTTATGGTCTTTTAGGGTTCCCTAAGCTCTCTTAGTTGCCCTATTCTTAACCTCTTTATGTTAGAGCCCCTCTATATATTGCAAGGCACCACACACAAACAAGTCACAAGATTTAGGGCGGCCGTATCTTGGGCGGATAAGTTGATGTTGTTTTGCCTTGTAGCCGTCTTGTGTTGTTGCTTAGTGGCTTAATAATTAATAATATAGAAGAGAGGGACGACAGTTTGATAGGGCTGCAGTCCTATCAAAATAAGTAAAGCCTCACCTCATAACTCACTTGAAATTGCAATTCATGTGTTGACAAACTTTGAAATCGATTATCTCGGCTTCAACATAATGATTGTGAAAAAAATAGGATTTTAAGCTGTAAAAATAATGCATATTGCAAGAAATTATCTGGACCGTCCATTTCTCCCTAAAAATAAGTGCTCACAGATCCACATGATCTATATCATTATTTGAGTTTCAAACTTTATTGTCGATATTGGAAATTGATTTTAGAACAAGAGATTTTTAATGGCAAAAGTGCTTTCCAAATGAGAATTTGAGATGAGGCTTTATTTTATTTTCATAAAGCCGAGGCCTCATAGATACTTCATCATGTTTAGTCGTGAAATACTTTTCATTAGGACTTGGTCAATCCCAATACTATGCCGTAGGACGATAGATCTATGTTGTGATCCTCAAGAGCAAGTGTATTGGCCAAATGTAAGAAAAATGATTAGTGTTCCTGCAGGAGCAAATGTAGACTTGCTTTCCCAAGCGAAAAACTACTGACCCAAATTTTGGGGTTGGGACATATTCATTCTAGTCATCACTCGAGAATTTCTTACAAGATCAGGCGCAAATATTGAATATAGACCGTTTGTTTTTTTGTTTAGGAATGGAAATCATTTTTGAAACTATCCATGTAGTTGTGGAGAAAGACAGATGTCACAATACCGTAACAATCCGCTTCTCAATTAGTGTAACCATGACATACTAGTCCATGACTCTCAATTAAAGAGAGAATAAAAAACAATCAAGATGAAGTGGAAGAAAAAAATTTCATTTAATGGTGACAATGGGGTACATAAAAACACTACAAACTTGATACATGTGATCCAATTTTTCCACCAAACAACTCTATTTAAATAGAGGTTTTTATCACTACATTTACTGCAATAACTAAAAGAAAAACTTAAATTGATCTAAGCCAGAGTATCTATTCTATTTTTTCTTCTTTTTCTATTCTTTTTGTTCTTTTCTTCATGGCTTAGATCTCCCGTAAGTAGTCATTTTCAATAAATCAACTTCAAAAGAAATAAAATAAATAAATCTAAGTTATAAAAACTTGATGTCACAATAAACTTTTCTTTTAATGACTACAGAAAGACACAAATTATGCTTGGGAATAATAAAAGATACAATGAGTAAATATGATAAGAAACAATAAAGAGAGTGCTGGAGATTACCTCTACCAGGCTTCTTCCACTCCACACCGAGTCTCCACTTTTCGATGGCGCGAGATCAATGGTCAACCTTCAATCTGAATATCGGGAAAGCAAATTTAACCCAAACCTTCCAATGGAACAACAACTCATTTCAATCACAAATCTCAAACTTAAGTAAAACCCCGTGATAACTTAGTTAAGAGAGATGGCATCTCCTTTCTACACCTTAAACCCTTTTAGCCATATCGCAATAAGATGGCAGAGAGATCAAAACTAACATAAGTAGGGCGTGCCCCTTCCATACTATAAGAGAGAGAGAGAGAGAGAGTGAGAGAGAGATAGAGTTTCCTTTTAAGTAGGGTGTGCTCCTTATATTTGCATAAGAGAGATAGAGAAATTAGTGTTGAGAATATTGGGTAGGGTCTATCCCTTTTTATAGTGCTTCAAGTGGTTTTAGGGTTTCTTAGGGTTTTTATGGCTTGCATCTTTATGTGAGATTGAATATGCATCATTAATCTTAGGTAACTTGTAGAGTAAGAGATATGAACCATCCATTCCATAGATAGGCCATCAAGATCATATGGAAGGCATTAGAGCCTTTATCCCATATTTCCTAAATTATTTTCCTATAAATTAAAAAATATTAATTATAATATTGTGCTTACTATACTCATGCACAAACCTCTTCACATATTCCTTATTTAATTTCAAAACTTCCTCAAGCCATAATATAGGCTATTTTTACTCTCAAGCCATAAGCTTGAACACAAAACAAAAGCCACAAGAGGTGGGGTGTGCCGCCCATGATGGAAACTCATGGGCCTTCGCCAACTTGCCATGGTGAGCCCATGTGCACAAATGGGCCCCCATGCACTTTTAAATAATTTTTAAAATCAAATAAAGATTTTTAGAATTTATTTGAATATTTAAATCAATAAAAAATCAATATCTATGCTTTTAAAGATCCAAATTTTATAAATAAAATACTCAGAGTTTCAAAAAAATTCAAATAACAATTTTAAAAATAATATAACATGAAAACAAACACAATTAAATCCTTTTGATGAGAAAATGATCTATATGGTTTAGAAATAAATAAATAAACACTGGGGCACTCCACTTTCTATTGTAGACTACGGTCCACATTTGCTTTCTCAAACCAATCAAGTATTGCCCATGACCCACAGTCCATGCAGGGGCTCATTTGTAGGTCACCAAAGTCTAGCTAATAAGCAAGGGATCGTAATCTTAGCCTATGAATTTCAAGTCCTTCCCTAGAGACATACCAATGTCACATAGACCTGATGCAATCCACAGCTCTATGATGCATATGAGTTATCTCTCACATACGCACAAGCTTCACCCTGAAAGGTGGTTTGCTTTCCTGAAAACAGATATCATATGTGCATGTTGCGTGTGTTAGAAACTATATTTCTATATGTAGGCCTTAAGCCCCTATGGAAGATGTATTAATGAGCTTATCGAAGATGTGAACAAGAGCCCCAATTTATAGGATTATAAAGCTATGTACTACTAAGAAAAGTAACCTATGCAATGAAATCACCCTTCTAATATGGGTACACATAAAATGAAAGAAAATATTGTACCATAAAATAAAAGCAAGTTTCTAAATTTTCCACATTCCCCCTCAAACTCAAGATGAGTTAAGAGATGTCAACTTGAGTTTAGAAAATTTGAAGGCAGACCTTAGAAACAAAGCAGGAACAAAAGAAGCTTGGGCAGCTGCAAATTAACGATCCTCATAAACTAACGCCTCGAACAAAGCAGTCGCTCATAAGATATTTTACAATAATTCTATTTATTTTCTATCTTATGCTTCAGTCTCTTTTTTACAATGAGTATTTTATTTTAATTTTATTGTTTTTTATACAATTGATTAAGTTTAAATTTTGAGCATCCATGCTACAAACTATAATAGTTATAAAAGATATTTAAAAATATAATTAATTTAAATAAAAATGACCAACTTACCTCTATAAATTTAAATTTTTTGGGTATTTTGATGTGTATTTATTTTAAAATATTTCTCGGTAATTTTATATAAATCTAAGATGGTGAATATCTATTTGGAGAAAGTTTATAAAGAGCATAGGCTCTAAACAATCAAATTAAAGACTCCCTCAAAATTTTCACTAGAAGAGGTTGTTTTGATGCCGCAATATCATCAAATTGATCACCTCCATATCAAGATGCATGGACATGAGAAAAAAATGGATTTCAAGTTTTAGAAATAGTGCATCTTGTAACGCATTTTTGGACCGTCAATTTTTAAGATTTTCAAGTTTTCATAGATATGCTCGATCTACACTATTTTTGAAACTTTAAGCTTTATAATTAAAGATGAAAATATAATTTAAGACTATCACAAAACTTCCCACTATTGAAACCATATTTCTCAACATTATTTGAAGGTGGGCTCTAATTTGATTGATTAGAGCCTCGGCTCTATACAAACCGCACCCATATCTATTTATTTTAAAATATTTCTCAACTACCCATATCTATTTATTTTAAAATACTTCTCGGTAATTTTATATAAATCTAAGATGGTGAATATCAACTCCTGTCTCAAACCCAAGATATGCAAAATCAGATTTTCCATATAATAGGTCACAAATGACCATAACTAAATTTGAGTTGAATCCAACGTATAAAAAGAAATATACAGCCTAAAAAAACAGGAATTAAACATAAAATACAAGAGACAGTTTCCATGAACCTTAGGATTCATAAGTAGAAATGAATCTCCTCTTAAAAATCTATTTTTGAGATAGATTTTGGACCTTAGATTTTAGGAAAATATAATTTCTAAGATGGTGATCATGAATATCTACATAAATAAAAATAATAATTTTATGAAAAAAATATTTATAATATTAAGACAATTAGTTTTAATTTTATTTGAAGGGACCACACGTCTGCATCTATCCTTAAGATGGATGTTTTATACGCATAATTTTTCAAAAATATAAAATACAGAACCATTTTTTAATTTCAAAAATAAATATTTTTTAATTTTAATTTTTTTTCCGTCTTAAGTTCATGCTGCTGGCGATTTTGAATGGAGGTGTCCATGAAACCGTTAACATACTAGATAGGAAAGAGAAACCCATGTTATTTGAACCAGGCCAGGGTAGAGAGAGAGAGAGAGAGAGAGAGGAGATAGAATGAGACTCAAGACCTGCGTAGATTCTTGTGAATGCTTTCTCTCACTAAAATTAAAATGTGCAGAGGATTCTGTGGACTGCCGTCATGCTTTTCTTTCAATGTAGGGAGGTGGAGGGGGAGTCTGTGAACCTTCTTTTCTCTCTCTAAGATCCAATGTAGAGAGAGGAGAGGAGAGAGGAGAGAGGAGAGAGAAAGTATTGAAGTCCCCACCAGCCATGTCTGTAATCACCAAAATGACCTTCGTCAACCCTCCCTCTCTCCCTCTTTCTCCTCCTCGCCCCCCTTCCTTTCTCTCTCTACGCCGCCGCCTCGAAGACACCCTCCTCTCTCTCCTCCCCTCTCTCTCTGAAACTCCAAACGTGAAACCTCTCCTCTCTCAGCTCCACGCCATCGCCCTCCGCTCCCACCTCCACCTCCATCCCACAATTGCTCCCCTCCTCATCTCCTCGTACTCTCTCTCCTCCCCTCTCTCCGCCCTGTCTGCTTTCACCCTCTTGCCGAACCCGAATTTCATCCGCGCCCTCTCGAAATGCCCTCCTCCTGTCTCTCTCCTTGCCTATATCCAGACCCTCAGAGCCAATTTTTCACCTGATGCTTTTGCCCTCCCCCTCGCCCTCAAAGCTTGCCCTCCTAACCTGAAAATAGCTTTCTCTCTCTATGCCCACGCCCTCAAGTTCGGCCTCCTATCGCAAACCGATGACATTTTTGTTCAAAACTCATTTATTGATCTCTTCTCAAAATGCCTCGACCCAAATTCATCTCGTAAAGTGTTTGATGAGATGCCTCATAGAGACTTAGTTACCTATAATTCAATGATCTCGGCGCATGCAAAGGCGGGGGATCCTGATGCGGCGCGCGAGCTCTTCGATGGGATGGCATCCCCTGATGTCATATCATACAATGCTGTGCTTGATGGCTATGCAAGGGCAGGGCGCGCAGATGAGGCCTTCTCGGTGTTTGAGCATATGCCTGCCCGCACGGTGGTCTCGTGGACCACTGTGGTCTCAGGGTACATAAAAGCTGGTGATCTCGTGATGGCTCGGATGCTTTATGATAGAATGCCTCACCGGAACTTGGTTTCTTGGACTATAATGATTGTCGGGTACACGGAGAGAGGCCTTATTGATGAGGCCTCGGCTTTGCTTGATCGAATGGTGGGGGTCGAGGGGCTTAGACCCGATGAAGTGGCTGTCTTAAGCTTGGTTTCGGCATGTGGTGAGTCGGGTGTATTGGGTTTTGGTCGAAGGGTCCATGGACACATAAACAACGCCCCAGCTCTCAGAAAAAGCACTCGAGTCTCCAATGCATTGGTCGACATGTACTCGAAATGCGGATGTATAGATGAGGCAGTTAAGGTCTTTGAATCGATACCAAACAAAGACACAATCTCTTGGAATGTCATGCTACAAGGGCTAGCAAACCATGGTCATGGAAGGCAAGCCCTAGGCCTCTTTGCTCGAATGCAGGATGCGGCAAATGTATTACCTGATGGGGTCACATTTGTTGGTGTTTTGTGTGCGTGTGCGAGAGCGGGGCTTGTAGACGAAGGGCTTCGACACTTTACAAGCATGCAAAGTAAGCATGGTGTGGCCCCTAAGGTAGAGCACTATGGGTGCATGGTCGACCTCTTTGGGAGAGCGGGCCTCTTGAATGAGGCCTTTGAGACTGTGAAAACAATGCCATTTGAGCCCAATGAGGTGGTTTGGGGGAGCCTGCTTGGTGCTTGTCGAACTCATAACAATGTGGGTTTGGCGGAGAAGGTGGTGGATCAATTGATTAAATTGGAGCCTGCAAATGCGGGGAATTATGCGCTTTTGTCAAATGTTTATGCATCGGTTGGGCAATGGCAGGGAGTGGCGAGGGTGAGGTTAAGGATGAAGGAGCTGGGGGCCGAGAAGACACCTGGTAGGAGTTCGATAGAGGTTGATGAGGTGGTTCACGAGTTTACTGTGGGTGATCGATCTCACCCTAAGGCGAAACGGATCTATAAGATGTTGCATAGGCTGAGCGAGCATGTACAGATGGCAGGTTTGGAGACTGAGGAGCTAGTGACCGTTTGAAGAGGAGACCAATAGCTTGAAAGAGCTGCTCAGCCTTGCATGGGGTTCTGGTCACTGGACTTAAAGATTAGGGTGCAGGGCCTGCAATGCATGGGCTTTGTCGTCATGGCTTGATTTACTAGGCTCAAGGGACAGATGATATGCTCCCGGATTTGAAGCTCAACATACCCACCTCGAAAGGAAAAGGAGAGATCATTCGTCAGGAAGAAAAGAAAAGGAAAGCAGACATCTCCATGTTCTTGATAGCTTGTAAGAGCTTCTCAGCCTTACATGTGGTTCTGGTCACTGGAGTTAAAGATTAGGGTGCAAGGCCCGCAATGCTTTCCATGGGCTTTGCTCTCATGGCTTGATTAACTGGGCTCAAGGGACATGTGATATGCTCCCGGGTTTGAAGTTCAACTTACCCACCTCAAAAGGAAAAAGAGAGATCATTCATCAAGACGAAAAAGAAAAAGAAAGCAGAGATCTCCAAGTTCTTGATAGCTTGTAAGAGCTTATCAGCCTTACATGGGGTTCTGGCCACTGGAGTTAAAGATTAGGGCGAGGCCTGCAATGCTTTCCATGGGCTTTACCCTCATGGCTTGATCTACTGGGCTCAAGGGACAGATGATATGCTCCTGGGTTTGAAGTTCAACTTACCCATCTCAAAAGGAAAAAGAGAGATCATTCATCAGGAAGAAAAAGAAAAGGAAAGCAGAGATCGTCATGTTCTTGATTGCACCTATGCGCATTTATTGATTTGGGCTATGGGCCTTGGAATGGCTCATGTACTGTATCAGTTAATCCCTGACAGGGCTTTGCCCTGAAGCTAATTCATTCCTCTTGTAAATAAGGTCATGCAGTTGTCGCTTTGGCTTCTGTGAGGAAGGTGTAAGAGTTTCTTGCTGCTTTCAACAACGGGGATTAGGGGCATGATTTTTTAAGAGATTGAAGGGAGTATGAATTAAGAGGGGCAAAATAGTTATTGGCCCTTACATTTTCTGAACTGGGCACTTTCAAAGCTGAACTGGGAGCACAATGGCCATTGTAGAGCATAATTGACGAATCAGGTGTGGGTTTGAGTGATTAGCAATTGATGTTAGAAACAATACATCTCACATCTCAAGTTTGATTCCTGCTGTTGAAACACCCAAAAAAAAAAAAAGACTTTTTTCATGGTGACTAAGTCACACTAAGGCTTTTTCCCATTGTATGATAGATGCAAGGCAATATGAGAAGTCAATATCCATTTTTTCTGAGAAAGAAAATCGATCTCCATGATTATTATTTATTATATAGTTAATTATTTGTTTCTTGCATTCTGAATTCCAAACATGGTAATTTCCATAAGAAATCAGGACCCTTTATGAATAATTTCCCCAAACCATAAGATCTGGCCAAGTGAAAAATACAGCAAAAAAATTGATTCAATTCAGTTCTAGGGCTTGGACCAAATTTACGTGGACATATATAGTCAATTTGCCTTCAAAGTCGAAGTACATTTACTGCACAAAGGAAAAAAATGAACAATCCAGATAACCTGTTCTCTTCTGTATTGCCATCGATGTACAATTATGTTACTTGTACAGTGGTCGAGTTTTTCTCAGATCAGGAGGCTGATGAGAATCAACGCATCAGTTTGAATGGTCTGCTTATGCACGCTACAAAGAAATTGTGTCCCTAATATTTCCATCAATTTTTCTCAACACAATAAGACATGATAGAACAAAAGTATTGGTAGCTGAAATCATATTCATCGCTAGTGTTCCTCACCTTGTGAAACTATGACCAATGACTTGTTTGTGACTGATCAAATCTCATTAACCTATTCAGAAGGACTAGATTTTGATGTTCAAAACTTTACCCAATGTCTCATAGTGCATGGGTGTGTCATAAACAGGTGGGCTCGGTGTTTTGCCGTTTCCAGAGCTTAGATCTTTAGACGAAGCAGCCCTTCTCCTTTGTCTTTGTTCTCTCCATTTCCTAAGCTGATCCTCGACAGCTGCCTTGGCCTTCTCTGCCATTTCTGCTCTTTTCATGGTGTCATCCACAGTTGATTTAAGCTTACTTATCTCTTTATTAGCTTCTTCCAATTTGTTCAAAATCTCAAACTCTCGTTCTCTCATGGCTTCAAGTTGATGCAATGTATCATCGTCACGAGGATAAGTGTTAATATCGGATTTCTCACTCTTCCTGATCAAGGATTCGTACTCCTCAATGGAGATTGTGATTCCTGAACAAGAGGATTTAGTGAGTTCTTCACTTTTGATGCTCAGTTCTATAATTCCTCTTGCCTCTGAAGAACCCGCCGTTTCAGTTATGCTTGAGGGACTCAGCTTCTCATTTTGTGGGCTATGGATCGATTTGTTTGCTCTCTCAATGATCTTTCCTGCTTTATTTGCTTCTTTTAATTTCTGTGCTTCTTTCTTTGCTTCCTCTGCTTCCATGGCCAACTGTTGCACTGCAAGATACAACCCAGAAGTGGCACTCCTAGCCTTTGCTTCAGCTGCTTCTGATGCAGCAACCTTCGACTTCATTTTGTGGAGCTCAGCTTTCATTAATGCACATTCAATTTGTGCTTCTGATTCTCTTTTCACCATCGCAGCCATTTCATTTCTCACTTTCCCCATCTCATTGTGAGTAACTAAAATACAGTTTTTCAATTCATGAACCTCTTCTTTTGCATTTTTTAGTTCTTCTTTTGATTGGTTTAACAATGCTTCTAATGATTCAATGGAATCAGTTATATCTGAGTCAGCCTTCCTTATTATGTCCATCTCTTGTTTTAGCTTGTTTAATTCATCAACGGCAGTGGAAGCAGCTTTGGCAGAAGAATTCTGCAACTCTCTAGCCTTTTGAAGTTCATCTCTCAAAGAATCTATAGCAAGAGAACTCGCCAAAAGCTGTTTCTCCAAGCCTTTTGATGCATCAAGCTGTTTCCTCATGTCTTCTAACTCCTTACATGCTTGCTCAGCCATTACTCGAGCCTTGTCCACCTCTTCTTCTTTCTCTGATAAAAGAGCCGATTTCTCTTTCTCTGCCTCTATAGCTTCCAACTTAGCGAAAAGTAGAGCTTGGTTGAGTTCCGAGATGTGTTTTAGAAGCTCCTCGACCTTTTCCCTCTCTAAATCCAATGTGGTCGCCATCTCTTCGGCTTGTTCCATTGCCTTTAGCTTTGACTTCTCAGCAACTGAAAGTTCTTGTCTAAGATTTAGCAACTCTAATTGTGAATCCCTCAACTCCTTGTTCTCAGATTCCAGTTTATCTATGTGGGTTTTTAGAGTTTCACATTCCTCGATGTAGCGATCTCTATCGCACTCAGTCTTGTGCAATCGAATGGACAAACCTTCGATTGTTTTCTCACAGGATTCAAGCTTACGTAGGACCTGGACATTGGCAGATTCTTTGATTTCAAGCTGCACCTTGTAATTTGCCAACTCCTTATGTATGACGTTGTATTCCTTCTTCTCTGTCTCCTATTTGCAGTAAAAATAGGAAGAGTAAGAAACTTGCACAATGGTTCATGTAGTGAACACTTATATATCAATGTTGTTATCCTATTTATGTACATACGTAAACAAGAAAATCTTTTATTTTGGACAAAACAATAAAAATATATATATATGTATCTCAGTGTAACTTCCATTGATATGTTATACACTTTCAATGTAATAACATACTAACCACGATCAACAATCATCACCGTCATCATCATCATCCAAGCCTTATCCCAATGATTTGGGGTCGGCTATTAGGATAAGATGAGGCAAAGTTTTACGTTGGCTGCCCTCCCTAACGCAACCCACCTCTTTTACCTGAGCTTGGGATAAGTTAAGGGAAAGTTTAAGGACCTCACCCTTATTAGACCAAAGAACAACAATGTATGTGTGACTTCTATTATGTGAACCTAACAAGTTTAATTGCATATCAATCTCTCATCACCATGTTTCTTTCTAGATAAAGTATATAGAGACAAATTATGGGATTTTTTAGAGCAAAGCAGCTCTAGTTTTGTGCCATCGTAATTCCTACCAAAACTTTATAAACTAAATGCCGATGACATTAATCCACAAGATGCTGGTGATACCAATTCACAATTACCCCTAGCATGCATTTATAAGAGAAAATATATGAGACATCGACTATAATAACAAGAATAAACTTGGATACAATTAAAAAAGAACAAGCATGCATATATTGTTTCTCTTATGTGCACGTAACAAGGTTACACCCATATCAATCCCTCATGACCATGTTTTCTTTTGAGATGAAGAATTAGAGAGACAACTTATGGGATTTTGAGAGTAAGATTGTTCCATACAACTAGGTTTGTGGCATTCTAACCAAACTCAATAAACTAAATGCTGATTGATATAGATATTTTAAAGAATGAGCAGCACCAATTCCCAAAACACAGAAAGTAAAAAAATGAATTCTTGCACTGTAACGGAGGTTCAACAAAGCCTCAACAAGGAGGTACACCTGGAGATGCCATGCACAGTATTTATTGATAACAACTACATGCAAATCAGTTGAAGTACTTATATATTGATATCACTACCCAGACAATAATGATAACTATAAGTATCAGTATATATATACACTTACAATTGGATGTATACCAGGGTAAATAATTTATGGAAAAGTATACAAAGAGACCATTTACTTTTAATATAAGGAGGTCACAATCACCCTTGTCTATCAGATTTCAAATAGTTGTGAGTGTATCATTGAGAAAACTCAAAGTTAAAAAAAAAAAATCTCGAACTTTGTAACACACCCCAATCCATCCAATTTGACATCTAATGGGTAGGAGCAATTGTGACCATGTAAAAAAGATGAAATGGTTTCATAGTATACAATCCCATAATTTATTGCAAGTATAAACTATATAAAGGAAACATGTATTCTCACAAAGAATCACATTTATAAATGCCAAAGAGATCAAGTCATCTACCGTTGGAAAGGAGCATACAAAAAAAATGTGTTGTACACGAGGACGTCCTAATAGACAAGTGAAGTGGGTAATACGCTTCGGTTGAAATCATGTAAATAAAAAGCATAAATAATTGCATATATGATTCTCGACTGCATATATCAGCAATATATATACTTTGATAACAAGTGTATATATGGCTGTACATCTCAGTGCATATGTATTTGTAGCTATCAGAGTATGCACTTACAACCATGTATAGAACTGGTAACACATGTATGTATGGTTGTGTGCATTAGTGTGTAACTGTATATATCAGGGTACATGTACACTAATAATTGCATATATAACTGATTTAACAATTGTATACAAGGCCATGTATATCTTTTTTCGAAATTGTTAACTGTCACAAGGCCGTGCATATCAATGTAAATGCTGGTATATGTAACTGATAACAAGTATATAATGGCTGCACATACCGAACCACATGGACCCACCTTACAGCAAATATGCATTCTAACATAGAACCACCTTAACTCCACATTTCCTTAGATTGCTTTCAATAAGGCATATGAATGGCACTAAAATATAAGCATACATAGCAAAATCTCAAAGACAATAATATAAAGATGACAGATCATGTAAAAATAGCCATATCATTCCTTGTTCTTCATCAAATAAACAATAAGAACAATAACAATTAATTTAAACTGATAAATAATTAGCTTCGGCAGAAGAATCTCTAGCTCATACAGCCCTAGCAGTCTAGTAAGGCTACAATGTAACCCTTGAAGTTTGCAAATCGAACTGAACAATGATTCAACAAACACAACATAAATGTTTCTCAACAAAGTCAAGGCTTGACCAACCATCAAGTTGAATTTGGCTAAGTCCAAGATGATTGGGATAGCCTTAGACCCCCACACCACCCAAACCTTCTTCCGAGAGATGAGGTTGTGTCACTAATTCCCTCCCCTCCACCTATCTTGGCCTTCCTCTTTGCCACGGGAAACCTAAGAAGGCCCAATGGAGCCACCTTATAGATAAAATTGAGCATAAATTGGCCACTTAGAAGGACAGATATCTCTCCCCAACGGGCAGAGCTACCCTCATCAAAGCCACTCTCTCTAATGTCCCCATCTTCCAGATGTCCCTCTTTCACATGGCCGCCTCAATGGCTTACCGCCTTGAACTTCCGATGCACAACTTCCTTTGGTCGGGAGATGGGGCATCCAAAAAATACCACCTCATAGCTTGGAACTCCGAATGCCAGCCCACAGCTTCTGGGGGCCAGGGCATACGGAACCTACAAAAGAATAATTTGGCTCTATTGGGCAAGTGGTGGTGGAGACTCACTACTCGGGGGGCAGCTTTGGCACCAGGTCTTACCGCCTCCACTCCTCTCCATGGTTCCTCCTTGACAAGGATTTTCACTCGGCTTTGGGAGTATGGAAATCCCTACTTCGTAGCCTTCACCTCTTTCAAATCCTTTATCCGCTTTCACCCTAGGGAGGGGATGAGAGTTAGATTCTGGTCTGACCTCTGGTTAGGACACGTCCCTCTCTCACTACGCTTCCCCAATCTATTCCAACTTGCCACGGAACGCCAACGCTTCAATAGCAGAGCTCTTCGGGTTAGTCAGAAGCTCTAGATCCTGGAATCCTGATTTCCACAGACCTCTTCATGATGAAGAGCTCCTGGCCTTTCTGGAACTCTCATCTGATCTCCACTCCTTTTCCTTTTCACCTAACAGGGAGGACAAAATCATTTGGACCCCAGCTTCTTCAGGGATTTTCTCAGTCTCCTCCTCCTTTCACCAACTAATCTCCCCTCCTGTTGTTTAACCATCGCCAAAGCCTAGATTCCTTTTATCCCTCCAAGGATACAGGTCTTCAATTGGATTGCTTTGTGGAAGAGAATCCTCACTACAGACCAACTCCAAAGAAGTGGCCTTCAAATCCCTAACAGATGTGTATTGTGTCTATTGGCGGGGAAACTAAATCTCACTTGTTCATCCACTGCAACTTTGCAAGCAGAATCTGGGAGGACTGACTTCAACTTCTCGGTTGCTCGTGGGTAACACCGGAATCAGTTCCCCAGCTGTTCCGGCAAATGGTCTTCCTACCGTGGCCCAAATCCGGTGATATGCTTTGGAAGGCAGCAGTAGCGGCTATCCTCTGGTCCATTTGGAAAGAACGCAACAACATAAGTTTTTGGGGGCAGCATTCTCACCATCATTAGTTAAGGAGTCCATCAAATCCTTGGTGATCTTCTGTGCCTCCAATCACAACCTTTTCAAGCTCCACTCCGCCTCAGATTTTCACCTCAACTGGAGCACCATCCTGCACCATAGGCCCAGGCGGGTGTCGTGATCCTCCCTTTGGAGACCCCCGGAACATGGGTACACCAAACTCAACTTCGATGGGTGCTCTCTAGGGAATCCTGGTCGGGGGCTTATTCAGGGATCACGCAAGAATGTCCCTCCTTTCTTTCACCTCTCCTATTGTGTATCATGGACGCCACCTCAAAAAAAATTCATTGTTGAACGTCAGCCGCCATTTCATCAAATGCAATGCGGACAAGAGGACGCCCACCGTTTTTTCCTAACTAAACTAAATGGGTTGGTGGAAGCCCATGCCCTCTTGGAAGGCCTCAAACTTCTCAACCCCTCTTGGAGCACAGATTTGGTTGTCGAGGTTAACTCAAGGAATGTCATCTCCTGGGCCTCATGAGAGGCTACCCCACCCTGGAGACTCACAGCTAACTTTGATGAGAATTTCAAAATTTGCAAGCATATGCTGGTCTTTTGGATACATACCTCGAGGGAGGCCAACAAAGTGGCTGATGCACTAGCTAAGAAAGGCACTTCCATGGCTATGTCCAAAGCTATGTTTTTGTATAAAGGCTCAAACTCTCTGTTTTTAGTGACTGTGATTTTGTAATTTTGCTTGTATAGCTCTCTGGTTTGCCACTCTTCGGTGACTTTTTTGTTCCGGATTGGGCAGTTTTGTATACTGCATTCTCTCACACTTAATACAAGGTCAACAGTTTCCCAAAAAAAAAAAAAAAACAAAGAAGTCATGGCTTGAGACAGACTGATAAAGTGCTTTCATCCATTCAATTCCAAGAAATCATTACTAATTCATATCCTACACTAGGGTGCATACGAAATTAGATCCAGATCAAGGATGCCTTTTTTGAGTCGAAAGATAAGAGAATATCAAACTTATTTAACTTGAATGGCATGTACATCCATGTGCTTAAATTGCCAATAGATTCACTCAAAAATGATTTCAAAAGTTCATGTAGACCAACAAATTTTTCAGCAAAAAATTATTCAAAAATAAAAGAAAAAGATAATATCTCACCCAAAGTTCAAACCGAACAAGCATTTGAAATTTACCACAAGAAGAAAAACTGGCATATGATATAAACAACTAAGTGGCCATATTATATTACAAAAAATCTATTTCCATTGAACAATAAATGTGCCACGTCCAATTTCATAGGTCAACATTATTTTGTATGTCATCGCCTTCCTTCTAATCAATGGGTTTGATGGTTACAGTGTAGTGGATGACGAATGCTCACATGGTGTACCATGTAACATACAGCGGTGGTGTTTGATATACCTATTAACTTTTCAAAGTACATTATCATTAAAGGAATGAGGTGACAATCAACCACGATCAACCAATCATTAAAGAATATCAGGATTTGGACAGGAGCTAATAAGTTTATGCTCTGTTAGTGAATTAAGTCTTGATCTCCCTCCAGCACATGCTAACACACTTAATTATTTCTTCTATGCTTTGACCATTCATTTTTCTGGATTCTGATTCTTCCTTGATTGACCTCATTAGTTTTTCTCCTTCAATGGGTTCTTCCTTTTCTGTATTCTATCATCAACCTCTTTTGTCAATTACCCTTAATTCTGTTATTTTCCCTTCCATTATTTTTACCAGTTTTCCTGTTACTGTAAGTTTCCTTCCCTTCTATGCCAAATTTTGTTTTAGTTTTTCAATTGAACTGCTGTTTTAGTTAGTCCTCTGTTCCGCCAAGCCTCCCAGATTTTTCCCTTTTTAGATTGTTTCAAATATCCATTCAATAAAGTGTTAGCAACTACTAAAATGCACTAACCCAACAATAAAAATTCAATTTAAAAACCAACTATTCGAAATTCTGCGAATATTCCGCGTGTCTCGATTATTACCTCACTACCAACCGATCTGTATTTTCTCTGCTCAGATTTCTCACCAAACAATGATAGTGCAACTTGAACAGGCTCAATTGATTTTGTATCAATCTCACCCATGTTAGATTTTAAAAAGGGATCTCAGGCTTGGTTCTTGCTACCTCAAATGAGTTCAGGAGCCGTTGCTTGCCTATAATTCAAGAATTGTCTAATTAGTACAGATGCAAGCACAGTATGGTCATCAAAAACATTACATGAGATATCTAACAAGATACAGCAAAAATTACATTTAAGCTTGAGCTTGGAATCAAATTTTTTTTGGGGGGGTTATTCAGCAGCAGGAATTGAACTTTGAATGTAGTGTTATAATGGTTGACACTTTAGCCAAGCAAACCCAAGCGCGATTCCTTCTATTTGGAATCCACTGATAACCTGACATTCATAGGGAAACAGAGGTAGGTGTAGATAAGTCAGAAATAGAACAAACGGAACACCATAGATAGGCCAGCACAATATCAGTTGAAAGAGAAAGTATATGCAAATAAAAGTTTATGAATAAATAAAAGGAAACTAAAATTACTGCAATAACATTGAACGACAATATTACAGCAATACTTCACAGAAAAGAAAATGAAAAGAAAAAATTTCACCCAAATAGAAAACCCAAATACCATTTTTTTTAAAAAGACCAAGTACCTAGTTGATGAACATTGAATATAAACAACAGATAAGAGTACAAGTAATAAAGAAAAAACAGAACTGCATAAACACATCCCATGAACACCACAAGAAGAAATTCACCATTCCAAGAAAATCCACATCTAAGTTGGTATCAGAGCCAAAAGGTTGGTCAGAGAGTGTGCCCATGGCTGGTGGTATTGCTGAAGTTCGGGACCATGTCGACCACCTTGAGGAATAGTTGGAACAACTCCCCCATGGAACTCAGGATTGTGGATTGAGGCAGAACCTTACTGTCTTGGAGGCTCGGATCGGTTCTTTGGAGGCTAAGGTGGAGGACTACTGTGGTGCCTTTGATGTTCATATGGGAGGGGTTATGGATGACCTCAAGGCTGTCACGGAATCCTTCAAGGCCAACCTTATAACCTTGTAGGAAACATGGCTCATGTCAAGAGGGTAGCACAAGTGGCGGGCTGGACTCTCAGAGTGTGAGGGTACCAGAGCCTAGGATGTTTGAAGACTGGGGGAAGCCCCAAGTTGTTGGAGGACTTCTTATAGGACACGGAGCAACACTTCGAGAATACCCATGCTCGTGAGGGGATTGTGTTGGCATCTGTGCCATGTACCTTGACGGACATGCAAAGCTCTAATGGAGGGTGCTTATCGAGGATACATCAAGGCCCAAGGTGAGCACTTGAGATACCTTGAAACAAGAGTTGAAGTATCAGTTATTGCCATGCAATGCAGCTTGGGTGGCTCAGAAGGCTTTGAGGAAGCTTCGGCAGGCTTCGTGAGGAACTATGTAAAAACGTTCACATCCGTCATGTTAGACATATGGACCATGACCAATGAAGACTAGTTGTTTATCTTCATATCTAGGTTGCAAGGTTGGACCTAGGCCGAGTTGAGGCAAGGAGTGCATGACTTGCCTACCACTATGGCAACAACTGAGGACCTAGCAAATTTTGATCTTCATGGGGCGGTGGAGTCAAAGCATGTCCGTGGACCATAGAGGCAGATGGTGAGAGTGATGCACTGCAATGGCACCAGACCAAAGAAGGGAGTGACCAAAGACAAGAAGGCACCCCGGAAGGCCTTCTCAGGCCGTTTCATTTGCAGGGGTGACCATCAAATGAGGGAGTGACTGCAAAAGCAAACCCTTAACACAGTTCGACTAGTGGAGGACAACGAGGAGGCCCCAACATAGCTTGGCTCATTGAGCTTGATGAATGCAATGCAGCTTGTAGAGACTAGGGCACAAACTTGGGACGAGTCCAGACCGCATGCTGTTGAGGCAACTAACTCTGAGGAGTCAAGTGATGACTCATGTCGAGTCATCACAAATAGACCATTAGTGTTAAGGGTGGGTCAATGGACAGACTCATCTGACTCCATGATGGGAGAGGCATCTTCGACTAGTGGGAGGTGTGATGTGGTGAGTAATCAACCTAGCCCTAACAGGGCAAGAAAGATGAGATTTGGCAACCAGCATGCATACCGCAAGTATTACTTGACCAGTAGTACGGCCGGTGCAAGGCCATCCTCTCGAGGACTGCAGGTGGTGGCAGCAGCAGACCTGGCTACGAACCCAACCACATGGTGGTAGCTTGAGGACCTGATTGTGTGCGCGTGAACAAAGACTTGGTGGCACCAATGGACCTGGCCAAGTGAATGAATGGACACTTGGTGGTAGCATCGGATCTGACCACGTGTGAGAAGGGCCAAGCAAGAGGCTTTGTCCAAGCATACATGAGCATTGGCCAAGATCATGGTTTATGGGAACTGGGTGAAGGTCAAGTGTCCAACGAGGACATTGGAATTGAGGTCGAGGCAGCTTGTTAGAAAACTTTCCTTAATGTCATGCACACAGGCTAAGTGGTGTGTGCAGGTTGGTCGAGGGACTCTGTCAAGAAACCCCCTTGATGCGGCGAATCACCACTTAGGAAGGCTCCCGCATGAATGATTGACTTTGTGTTTCTTTAGCAGAGCTAGCTCTCTCTCTTAACAAACCAGTTCTTTTGGCCGAAAACTATATATGAGGAAAGTAAGACCCCTCAATCTTAACCGTAAGAGAGGTCAAGGTGGTGCTAGAGTGGTGCATGGTGTGTGTGCAGGTGGCTGGATGCTAAAGAGCCCTTGTGCGAGACCTTGGTGTAGAAGGTGTAGACAGATCGTTGTTCCTAGCTTAAGTTATGGCTTGATTGGCTTGACTTGACGGGACATGAGTAAGGACCATATGCAAGAGGTAGGCTTTTCCAGGCATCTTGTTGGGCATGTGTTGACCATAACGGTCATGATTGTGGACAATGGGCACCCGGGCAGGGCGGTTGCCAAGATTCACATTTAAACTGAGGCATGCGTGGAGGGTGAGCCTGAGACGTGGCTGTAACTGCTGGGCTTTGGTCTGTTAGGATTGGGGTGACTATGGTAACTACCGCAGGTTGACTAGCCAGGTGGCTATGACTCTAAGGATGCGAGAATGGTGGGAGGCTAAGTTGTGGAATAGTGTAATGGACCAAGGAGTGGGGAGTTACTATAACTGACCCAGTGGTCAGCTGACACGCCACTATGTGTCCTTGGCCAGGCCATGGCCAGAGCTGTTTGACATGTGTATTTTATCTGAAAAATGGTGTAGCTAAGGTCTATATTAAGACCAGGTACAGACCCTTGAGGGGCATCTGTGGCAATCTACTAGTGTAAGTGTACAGGTAATGCAGTGGGCTACGACTCTTGTTTATGCTTGTGCTAGTGACCCTTGTGTGTGTGTGTGATTGCTCTTTTCTATAGTGTGGCTTGTGGAAGGCAGGCTTAGCCTTATTCAGTGTAGGACCTAGGATTGGCGCCGAATGGTTTAGGTGGCTTGAATTTTACCCCATGAACATAGTCATGAAGAAACATCATTCATTAACCTACTAAAGGTTGTCCGGCATTACTAGGAATTCAAAAGACTTGTAATGGGTTACACAAGGTATCTTATCGTTGTCACCCTCTGCAATACGGACCTACCAATAACCGAAGCGTAGTCCAGTTTACTAGACCCTGGCCTTAGCCATTTGGTCGAAAAGATTACCGATGAGGGGTAGTAGGTGCAGCTCTTCACCATCAGCTTGTTTAGGGTTAATAATCCACATCTATGCTCTCTCTCTCTCTCTCTCTCTCTCTCTCTCTCCATTGTATTCTCGAGTCCATACTGGACTCCCAAGAAATATAGGAATCATGGGTGTTTTAGAGAGAGAGGAGTCTTAAGAACTTGTGCCCTGTTAAAATGGTGACTGTTGATACCAATGTATCGCTATGTTCAACAAAAAAATACAGTAATAAGTTCTTTTCATGAAAAATCCCAAGGAAAAAAAAGAAAAAAAGAGGGGGAGGGGAGATACTTGACGGTACAACAAAAATAGTGGAAATACAAAGTAAACCGACAAAATTTACAATAATCCATAATTGAACATGAAATTTTTCTCAGAAGATCAGCAAATACATATGCAGACCTATAAAACATAATATGATGCCATCAAACAACAAGAATAAAAGCACATTTTCATCAATAATACACAAAAAAACCATCAAATGCACATGCAAGCTCTAGAACCAGATAAACACCATTGATTCAATTTAAAAAAAAAAGGAATATGAGGACTAAACCTCAGATAACAATTCACCAAACTCAGAACCAAATCTTCGAATTTGTGCGGAGAATTCAGAGAATAATAGATGAACACCAGGGAAAATCTACCTACCAATAAAAATCACCCAAGAAAACCAGAAACGCAAGGCGCCAGTGAATACGAATAGTTGTTCCATAGAAGGGTGATAATGAAAATTTGGAGATCACGAGGCCATGGCTTCGTCTGAAACGAACAGTCCAGAAAACGACTGGTTGGCCTTTGCATTGGACAAATCGAAGAAGAAAAATCCAGCAGTGGATTGGACTCATTATAGCCTCAAATGTTGCAATAAGAAAATTACAGCAGTGGATTGGACCCATTATAGCCACAAATGTTGCAGAAAAAGCTTTCAATTCCATTCAATTCGTTTCATAGCTACGGTTTTTTTTACTGTTCTTGTCGTAATCAGTTGTTGCAGAGAAGAGAGCTTTCATGGCTTTTCTTCGGCAAATATGGAAATTACGTACTTCTTTTTCTTTAATTATTATGAATTTGATTGCAGAAAAAAAAGAAAGACAAAATAGAGGTAAAAAATGCAGAGGACACGATTCAAAAAATTCCAAAAAACACCCCGAATTGAGATTCCTAGACACTTTACCCCCACACCAATATATTTTCACTTTCTTTTGGTAAAACACACATTTTCTAATTAATACCCCAAACTGAAAAAGGTATATTTTATTTAACAAAAATACTCCTTCATGTACCTTGAACGTACGACCAAATTCTTTGGATGAACCCCAATAAACCTTTCACTGGACTGAGTTTCTAAATTACCAGAGTGCTTATGAGACAACAATGTACTAGATCGAATATCTAAAACACCGAATTGAACCCACTCAAGTAGTAAAATTACTAGAGTTATATTACAAGTCACCAGTTTGCACATTAAACAAATTGCCAGACCGCTTAGAGACATGAACGGACGGACCCGCCAGGAACATAATTGCCAGATTGAAGCTCCAAAACTCCGGACTATTTGACGTAGCCATATTCAACTATGTCGGACTACTTCAGTGTATTCGCCGAAGTGCCTGTGTTTCTAGGAAGTATATCACCGAGGTGATGCGGTGAATCACCGGACTGTAAAATTTCTAGGGAGGAAACTGTTGGTTCGATGTTCTTCACATGCCAGAGCGCTCTTCACAAGTGCCGGAATTGTTTTTTTACGGTGAACTACCCGCCGGAGCCAGTTCACTAAATGCCTGAGTGCATTCTAATGGTGTCGGAGTGTCTATTTTACAGTCAACTATTCGTAGGAACGAGTTCATCTGTCGAAGTGAATTCTAAAGATGTCGGAGCGTATTTTACATGTGTCGGACTGCCTATTTAACAGTGAACTATTCTCCGGAGTGCATTCCATACGTGCAGGAGTGTAAAATTGGTAGGTTAAAAAGAGAAAGGCAAACTTATATTTTTTTTCAATTTTTTTGAGATTGGGGGTATTAGTTATAAAACTTAAATTTTGAGAAATTTTATTCAGGAAAAATTAAGGTGGGGTAAAGTGTTTGAAGACTATAGTTTGAAGTGGCTTTAGTAATTTTCTCAAAAAAGTATCCATGATTATTGAAATGACCAAAATACCCCTAAACTTAGCTTGGGTTAGAAAGCGTACAGAATGTTCCTGCGGGAGCAAATTATACAAAAACTCCCTCGGTTGAAAGGGTGACTAGGAAAGATTTTTTTTTTATTTTTTTTTGTATTTGTTTTAAAAAAATGGGATGCATGATTACTTTCAATTTTAATTCTTGAATGCCTAGATTTTTCTTTTCAAAAATTAAATGGTTCTTATTCAATCTTGAGATATTAATTTTTCTATACATCATATTTAATCTTGTGTTCCTTTTAGGTTTTAGTTTGGTTATTAGGTTTTAGAGGCTGGTTATTAGGTTTTAGAGGCTACATCTCCATAGGTCTAAAAGAAATCCAGGTCTACCCGTAGGAGGAATTTGCAGTATATTCCCTTAGGAGCACCAAATCTTTTATCGGGAAATAAATTCTATCATTATTGTATTCCCAAATTACTCCTGCGGGAGCATCTTGTCCATATGCTCCCATGCTATAAGTGCTGTCAGGACCTCAAGTTATGGGAAATAACTTATTGAACCTAGCGACCAACCTCTAAAAGAAAAGAAAAATGAAAACAAGATTGTAATAGAGTGACTGGAAGAAAAAAAAAAAAAAGGACCCTCCTATTTTTGGATATAAAATTCTTGGTGTTCAAAATGGGTTTGCAGCGGTGGTGATAGCACCACCTAATCTAGGCTTTCATTCTCATCTATGGTATTCAAAAACCACTAGTGATTTCAAAAATAAAAAAATTTATATAAAGTTGCAAAAAGTTGCACCTCAAAATCCATCATAAAAGGTTGTTTGGATGTTGAAAAACCCTCTAATTGATCATCTTGACAATCGAGATTAAAGATGCACCGCAAAATCCATCATAAAAGGTTGTTTGGATGTTAAAAACCCTCTAATTGATCATCTTGACAATCGACATATATGATTATGAAAAAAAAAGGATTTCAAGTCCTAAAAATAGTGTATCTTGCAGTACATTATCTAGACCATCCATTTTTAAGATTTTTATATTTTTGTAGATCTACTTGATTTGAACCATTTTTAGAGATTTGAACTATTTTTAAAGTTTAAAATTTCATAATTAGAGATGAAAATATATTCGCAAGTCATCGTAAGTTTTTTTTTATAACAAGACTACATTTATGATAAAATTTAGATGCGCACCTTAATTGGATTGTTTGAGGTTGCAACCTTATGCAAACCACGCCCTTTTAAAAATGGGTAGGGGCTTATCATCCCAACTGAATCATCTAAATAAAAATAATAATCATGGTGTAGATTGCTAAACAAATAGAATTTCAAATTTTTATTTTTAATCATAAAGTGATTCTTAAATAGATCCCAAAATTTCAGGTAAAAAAAGTTCTCCTTACTAGCTTTTTTACTCGAAAGAATCAAAAAAATTTTCTTTTGACTTTTGAGCTCGTTAGTATTACATTTCCAACCACCAGTTTCACATTTAGTGGTGATGATATAATACCATTTTAGCAAAAAAAAAATATATATTATCATATAATTGTCTAGAGAGGGAGAGTAGATATCTCAAACTCTACATTGATTGACAAGTGAGGAAAAGAGTAAGAAAATGTATCGGATGGAGAAAGAGTTTATATAATGATGCAACCTTGTAATGTGGAACTACGGATGCACCTCAAAAATCGATCAGAAAAGGTACTTTTAATGTTGAAAAACCCTTTGATTGATCCTCTCGATATCGAAATGTATGACCATGAAAAGTAAAAAAAATTTAAATATCATAAATAGTGATTTTACAATATATTATCTACATCATACATTTACAAGATTTTCATATGTTTATCGATCTACTTTTTTTTAACTATTTTTAAAATTTAAAATTTTATAATTAGATATAAAAATAGATTTTGAGATAATTTTAAAAATACTTTACATCAAAATTATATACCATGATAAAATTTGAACGTACACCCTACCTCTACAACTACATATGCATCTGTATGCCAACTCCACCCAAGAGTAATAAAGAGAGTGGACGAGACCCAATTTCTTCATGAATAGTGAGACCGAGAGGAGAGAGAATTTCTCCATGGATAGAGATAAGAGAGTAAATTTTACTCAATTGACAGTTTGATGTGAATTTTTTTTCTCTTTTATTGCTGGGTCTTGTGTATGTTGTGTTAGTTTTGAATTCTCCGACTTCCTCGATGTTTAAAGAGTCTGGCTAATTGTATTAGGTTGTAACTTTAAACGATCCAATTAAGATGTACCTCCAAATTTTATCATAACATGTAATTTTGGTGTAAATTTTTTTAAGATTATCTGAAAATCTATTTTTGTCTCTAATTATAAATTTTTAAATTTCAAAAATGGTTAAAATTAAGTAGATCTATAAACATATAAAAATATTGAAAATGGACGGTCTAGATAATTTGCTGCAAGATGCACTATTTATGAGACTCAAAATTATGTTATTTTTCCATATTCATTCATCTTGGTATCAAAATGATCAATTAGAGGGCTTTTCAACATTAAAACAACATTTTCCGATGGATTTTTGAGGTGCATGTTTAATTCTACATTTTCAATGTCACAACCTTATATAAACTTTTTTATATTTAAAATGAAAGCTTTTCATAAAACACTAAGCGTAGGAATTTACGACCATTTAATTTGAATAGATGGTTGGGATAGCTTCAGCTATAATGTCACAAGTGAGCCATTGATCATTTGATCTAGATATGACGTCTCAAAGTATTTTATTTTCATTTGTTTTATCCAAATCATATGAACATGGAACGTGATATGTGTCATCATCTCGATGGGCGCACCTAAAAAATATATACAAAAAAATAAAACTAACTTCCAAAAATATCATAACCCAACTAGCCCTTTTTAGGGGTATTTTAGTTATTTTATTTTATTAATATTTTTGTAAATGCAAGCATAAGATAGGACTAGATGTCCCAACTTTAGTGTTAATATCATTTCCAAAAATAATTTAAAAGTAAAATAGTGTTCAGGCGTGACATTATGATTGAGACCATCTTAACTGGTCATATCAGACAGCAAGAAGTGGGGCGGCATGTATGAACCCCTACACCCACTGGTGCATAAAAGGCTTTCCCATATTTAAATGGGTATTCAGCACTTTTTGTTTTTTTAATAAAAAAAAATTTTATTATCTATTTTCAAAATAAGATTTTATCCATTACTTAAAAGTATTTCATGACCATATCATCCCATATCTCCAAAATTATAATAAATATTCTGTCATTATGTTTTAGTTATTATAAAAAAAAAAATTACTTTGTTTTGATAAATTACTTACTTGGCGTGGTTTATATTAGGTACAAGTTTATATACAGCAGCAACCTTCTTTGTAGAAATAAAGTTGCAGTGTCCTAAATTATCTTAGATTGAACGTTTCAAAAAACAATGTCACAAAATAGCACATTTTATAAATCTACACGTCCATTAAAAGATATAGATTATTACAACTTTACTTTGGAGCGGTTTGTATATTTTTTCTATTGTGGGGAAGATATATGCTTCTCTCCATCCAACCGTTCAATTTAGATCAAGTGAGCCACTTAATGTTTGATTTGGATCCGATACTTTGGAGTATTTTATTTTTAGTTTTTTCTACAATTTATATGAATATGAATTTTGGTACGTGCTATCATCTCAATGGGTCACACCCAAAACAAATATTAAAAAGAATTATTCGATAAGAATAATGACCAAAATACCTTGAATCTTTTAGGGGTATTTTTGTTATTTTATTTAATTGAGAATCTTATTTTTATCTTCTTAACAAGTGCAACTTGCAACTTTAAGAGAGGCGTGGGCAACCAAAATTTGGTGTAAAAATAGTTTGTAAAAATATAAATAGTGTGGAGACGTGACATTGTGATTGGCATCATCTTAGTTGTCCATTCAAAACAGACGATTGGATATGGGCAAACATATAAGTTTTATGCAGTAGGCGAAGCCTGCCCTTATATAAAACATTTATTAAGGAGTCAAGATAAAAAAACAATGTCAAAAATAAACACATTTTTTAAATCTCCATGCCCATTAAAATGGATGAAATACATTACAACTTTCTTAAGAAGTTGGTACAAAATCTTTGCTAACAACTTTACATGCCCATGCCCATGCCCAGCCTAAGTAAACCTTTTATTCTCTGGTCCGGGTTACTATCTTTACCTAACTTTAGCTGTCCCACTATATCTTGGTTGATAGCAAAAACTTTGAAATATAATAGCAAATTCTAAAATAAATGTTAATATTAATTGATGTTTTTATTAGGTACCTACTAGTGGTACATGACTTCATTTTACTCTAAAGCTATTGGTAGCTAGCAGTTCATATTTTCCCGAAGTACTTTTTTTATCTAAAATTTTGAGATTTAACTTTCGAATCACAATGCGAATGTTTTAATAAATTTGATTTTTTAAACACTTAGATTTGACTGATAAAAAAAAAGCGATTTATTAAACGCTTAGATTTGACCGATAAAAAGTTGGTTTACCTCAGTTTAATCCTAAGACATTATTTAATTATTTTTAAAGGCATGTATAGAATGCATATGCTCTCCAATTCTTTTCGTCAAGTTCGAGTAGATGATGTAGACCAGAGGAGAAACCAAACAAAACATAAAAAAATAATTAGAATAAAGAGATTAATCACTCCCACCCACATGCCCAACAAGGAAGTTTATCCTAAATAAAATCTTATTCTCTTCTCTCTTTTTGTTTTGTTATTTTTTTGTCGAGTTATATATTTATAGTAGAAACCCTAAAAATTGAAATTTTAATCAATATTAAATCCTGATCTTTCATCATTACTAAACTTTTAATTGTAACCGTCAATATCTCTACAACTTAAAAAGAGACAAGTACCCTAAGAGGAAATTAAAAACTAAAAATAACTCCAAACATAAATAAAAAATCTCTTAAAAAATATATAAAAAAAAACCATCATTCTTTTAGAGTTGGAAGAAACTTGACCACCAACTTGAATGCTCAAAATTCAAAGCAAAGACCATCTCTTATGTCACCTTGTGGTATCTCTAGATGTTGATCTTCTTTATGAATTTCTTATATTTCTTGAGCCAAGTGTAAGTTCGTCTTCTTTTTTGGGCATTTATATGTACGGCATATAGTTTTATTACATCAATAACAAGTAACCTTGGAGGAATATTTCTTTTTACATTAAATTTTGTGTGGTGGGAAAATTCATTTTAGGTGAGAAAATGCTTATTAATGTTCCATTGTAATTAGTTATCCACTCATAAAGCAATTTAAAATGCCTTGCTTAAGGTCCATAGCCGAGGTAGAAAGACCTCATCCATAATGGTTGGTTGGAGCCCTTTAATATAACGGGTTACATTTCTATTATTCACTATTTTAAAGGTTGTTTGGAGCCGCAAGTCTATCAAATTTCTTAATATAGTCTTCTACTTTCATCTCATTTGTTGAAATTTTGGAGGTCTTAAAAGAAAATTTTCTCGTTCGACAAGAGCAAAAAAATTATAACTTTTTTAATCTTTTGCCAATAAAAAAGTATTTCCTCCCGCGAAAATAAGATGGTTGAATTTGTTCCCACTAGCTCACAACATACTCGTCCACCTTGATTGCAAAAAGTTTCACTTTATACTATTCGGGCAACATAAACCATTAAAAAAAAAAACTCTCAATTGGACTCGACAAAACCCTTTATGCGAAAAAATAGGTCTTATTTTCATGATTTTGAATTTCTTGATTTTAAATATCCTTCTCATTAAACAATCTAAACGTTGGATTTTGACAATATCCAAGATAGTAGGAATTCATACCTTAAAATTTATGTACCGAAACAGGCCCTAAAGGAAAACGAGTTATAGCAGCAACTCTATCAAAATAAGTAAATACTTACCTCATAATTTATTGTAAATTATAATTCAAGCATCGAAAAACATTCACATCGATAATCTCATTTTGAACATTATGGTTGTGGAAAAAAAATTTAAGATTTAAAACTCTAAAAATAATATATATTGTGGCAAATTATCTAGACGGTTTGCGATGCCTTGAAAATAATGTATATGGTAAAATGTGGTTTTCGTTTACCACGTGCAAAAGTAAAAAATGCCCGGCCGCACGACATGCGCTCGTGTCCGACTCTGCAAGGCAGTCCAAACGACGGTATTTTCGTCTTTCAATGACTGGTTAAATACGTCTTTCCGTAAGATATTAGGGGCATTGTCAACTTTTTTTCCCGCTCTTTTTCGTCCATTTTTCCCGCTTTTTTATTCTCCGATTTTCCCGCCTTTATTCCTAAATAAATTAGAGAGAGTATAATTTACAGAGAAATAGAGAGAGAAGGAGTAGGTTAGAGAGGGAGAGTGGAATTCAGAGAGAAAGAGTAGATTAGAGAGAACCAGAGAGAGAGAGAGAGTAGATTAGCGAGAGAGGGATTGTAATGGAGAGAGAGCGCAATTAGAGAGAGAGAGAAATATCAGAGAATATTGAGAAGAAGAGCAAATAGAGAGAGTATGGAATTGTGTCTTCAATGGCCACCACTGCTACAGTTCACCTCTCTGTGAAGTCAGGTAAAGATCGCCTCTCTAATGTTCTCCCAAATGAACTCGTGGAGAAGATCCTCTTGCTATTACCTGTGAAGAGCATTCTCTGCTTTCAATCTGTATGGAAACTCTGGAATTGTTTCTTATCCTCTCCTTCGTTTGCTAGAATCCACGCTCTCTCCAGCTCATCTGCACTATCCAAACCCTTTACTTTCTTTCTCTCCATGGATGACTATGTAATGTCTCTTCACGACACTGACAACGAGTTATCGTGTCATGAGACTAAGATCCGAGCTCCATGGGTGCTTCCAAGCTTCCATTCAAGCTTGGGTTCTCGGATTGTGGGCAGCAATGGTGTCCTGTGCATTTTTAACCGTGAAAACAACGGCCGGATTTCAGTGATCGATGTATTCTATATTGCTAACCCTGCAACTGGACAATTCACTACTATCCCATACTTCCCTGATCATGTCAGTGATCAATCCTCGGTCTATGCTTTTTTCGGGTTTCATTTCGACCCTGAAAGTCGTGATTTCAAGATCATGGTGGGGATTCGCAGTGATGACTGGATTGAAAACTTTGAAGAAACCTAGTATTTGATACATCAAAGGGAAAATGGAGGAAGCATCGAGCTCGAAGAAGGATCCCTGTGTCCTGGGGATACAAGGCTGACACGGTGTCTATTGGTTCTATTTGTTATTACATATCTGAAGACAACCATTATTTGGTGGGTTTAGACATGAAAACAGAGAAAGTGGAGATCCAATTGCGTCTGATAAAGGTCGAGGGCGGCAAACATACTGTCAAAATCTTAGAAAAGGAGGACCAGATCTATGTCGCAAAAATGGATAAAAGATCAACAGTGAAGATGTGGATTCTCACTGAAAGGAAGTGGGTGGAAATTGTTAGTGTAGATATGAAGAAATTCAATGGCAACACTCTCTGGTCTTGCCCTGTGCTTTGGCTTGGAGACGCATTGATGTTCTGCAATGACACTGAGATATCAAAATATGATCCAGAGAGTGGGAAGCTACACAAATCTAAAATTAGCAGCGGAATTGGATACAATTTCATAACTTATAAGCCGACCCTGCACACTTGGGATTACGAAGGGCGCCCCAACTATTGCTTTGAAGCAGATAAGCCTATTCTCTATTCTGAGTGAAGAACTTCATTGAGAGTTTAGGTATTGCCATTCTTCCTTTTTTTGGGTTCAATATTCTCTTGTTTTCTTTATCTTAGTTGTGTTGGACACCTTAGTATTGTGTTGTTTATAATTCATGAATATTTTCCTTTATATTTTGCTACAATGAAAAGTGTTCACTGTTGATTTCAGTATGGCCCCAACTGCAATCCATGTTCCTCTATTCCCTTTTTATTTTCGTCTTCTACTTCAAAACTTTTAGACCATGGGATGTAAACCTTTAGGAGTGCAGACTTTTTAAGGCTTTACAATTTTTCCTTCTTTTTTGGGCCAAAAAAAAAAAATTTAGAACTATTCGGTTTGGGATCTAGGTTTCGGATCTAACCGTGTTTAAAAACCTGAAATAGGGTTGGACCATGGCACTAGTCAAGGTGATTCGGGTCACCAATTCCTGGCAAGTGGGCTTAGCGAGCGATTCTGAGGAAAGATCGTCCAGGAGTCCATACAGTGAACCAGGCATTTCACTAACAAGTTTTATGCCGATTGACCTAAGCTAATTGCTCAACATTAGGTTATTCTTGTTGACAATTAAGGGCCTAGTTACAGAGATTGAAGGCTACATAGATTGAAGGGAAATGGTGAGGATTTTTTTGGGCAGATGGGTGGTTTTGAATGGTGTTTGGTGAAGGTGTTCTAATAAAAATTAGGAAAAGTATGCAATGAGACTATTTAACTTTGGTACAAGATGGTCCCAATTGATGTGAAATTGGGCAGCTACATATATTGCATTGACCACGAGTTCAAAAGAATTTTTTTAGAACTTTTTTTTTTAACTTTGTGGGGGTATCCATGCTATCATATTTTTTAACAAATAGTTATAAGTAGTGGTTTAAAAAACGGATCGGTAGCCCGGATCGGGTACCCCAAAAATCCATCTAGATCGAAAATCGGTCGGATTAAGCTGTAAAAAAAATCTAAAAAAATTATTAAAATTCATTATAAATGATGTTTTTTAAGAATCCAATAAGAAATCGGGGTATTACATTATTAATTTTCATTTTTTTCATCAATATGCGAATATTGAGATATTTTTTCTCTGTATGAACTTCTTTTAACCATTAAATACATCACACAAAATAAAAATTATGGAACTATCATGGATGAAGTATATAATTATACCTGGACTACAATAAATAATGGTTTTTTTATAAGAACATTTTTAGTTTTTTTGACAAAAACTTTTTATTTTTTACAAGAAATGTTTGCCGTATTACATTTTTTTTTGTTTTTAGCAATAACATTTTTTTTTGACAAAAAATACTTGTTGTATTATTATTATTTTTATAAGAACTTTTTTTTTTGACAATAACTTTTTATTGCTTTTTTATTTTTTTAACAAAAACCTTTTATTTTTTTCACAAAAAAAGGAAATTTGACAAGAAAAATAATTGATAAGAACATTTCATTTTTTTTTTATGAGAAACTTTTTATTTTATTGATAAGAAACAAATTTGACAAAAAGTAAAATTGATCAAAAAAACTTTTTATTTTATTGATAAGAAAAAAAATTGACAAAAAGCAAAATTGATAAAAAAAAAACCTTTCATTTTTTTCTTATGACAAAAAATACTTGTATTATTATTTTTTTATAAGAATTTTTTTTTTGACAATTTTTATTACTTTTTGTTTTTTTTGACAAAAACCTTTTATTTTTTTGACAAAAAAAAGAAATTTGACAAGAAAAATAATTGATAAGAGCCTTTCATTTTTTTTTTATAAGAAACTTTTTGTTTTATTGATAAGAAAAAAATTTGGCAAAAAGCGAAATTGATAAAAAAAACTTTTCATTTTTTTTGATAAGAAAAAAATTTAACAAAAAGCGAAATTGATAAAAGAATATTTTATTTTTTATTAGAAAAACATTTGACCTCAAAAAAATAAATTTGATAAGAAAAATAATTGATAAGAGAACCTTTATTTAAGCCCAGCGTTTTAAAAAACGCCGAGTCGAACCGGACTCGCCCGGTTCGACTCGAAAATCGTAAAAAAGGGATTGGATCGGTGAAAAATCGAAAATCGTCCGGTTCTAGAGAGAACCGGACGATTTCGCACAGTGACTCGTCGATTCACTGTGCGAAATCGGTGAGTCCGTGAAGAACACGGGTTGCACAGTGTTCTTCACGGATTCTTTGAAATTTGTCTTTTTTTGATCATTTTTCTTGTTTTTTTTGGCTTGTGATCTGATTTGCAGGCTTTAAACAGCTTTATCTAGCTTTTTCAAGGATTAAATGGTGGAAAAATTTGTTGTTTTTGGATCACGAAAAATTCGGTGTTTAGGGTTTCCGCCTTTTCTGAAATTTCATGCCAAATAAGGCATGAATCTTTCAAAATTTGTAGGCATTTTGATCTTAAAGTTGTGAATCAAAACCTTTTGTTACTAATTTGTGATAAT